GCAGAACTGGGGCTCAGCTCTGTACTCAGTCCTCCCTAAACCCACAATGCCAGCAGGAGCTTGCTCCACTTCCCACCCCCCCAGCCTCCCTTCCCCATTCCTCTCTCCCAATTAACACCTGAGTCTGTAAGTTCCCTGAGGCCATGAACCATTCCTGTTCTTCCTTCATCCCATATACACACACTGGGACAGCCCTATTTCCAGCACATTGTAGGCACGTAATATTTGCTGAATGCATGGTGAATGGTCATCTTATTCTTCTATGAACTTCAGTGCCAGCGCTGCCCTGGAGCCTGAGGGATGCTCTGGCAGGAGGACATAGCCTGGAGATGTTCAGGGCAGATGACTCTGCAGATGCCAGTGTGCTACCAATACAATTGGAGATGGGAACAATGATAGATTCACAGGAGTTGTAGGGACCTCTGAGGTCACACAGCCCAACCCTCTGGCTTTACAGATGAGAATACTGAGGCCTAGAGGCAAAGTGCCTTCCAAAAGCTACACAGCCTGTTAGGAGCAGAGCCAGGTTCAGAGGACGGCTCTTTCTCTCAGGTCCAGCCATCTGTCCTACCATGCCTACCCCCCACCCCCCATCCCCGCACACACACATTGCTTTCCTCATCCCAGACCTGGCTCTGCCTCAGATGCTAGCCCAGGGCCCAGTATAGGTCCCCTGCCAGCACAGGCTGCATGGCTGGTCTGAGTCTCTAGCCCACACACTCTGTCTCCCAGGGAAGATGGCAATTAGTTTCCATTGTGCTGTTCAGCATGACTCTAGGTCAATGTGAGCCTGACAGGTCAAAATTCCAGGACCAGGAAATACCAGGACTTTGGACCCAGAAGGTCAAGGACTGTAAGTGAATCTTAGAGACAAAGCAGGGTCACCCAGGGCATTGGAACATCCGAAATAACAAAGCCATAGGGCACAACACCTCCACTCACCTTTCTACAGAATGGAAAGGGGGCAAAGCCAATGAAAAAGCAAGAGAGGAAAACTATAAGAAGACCGGAGAAACCAAGATGGTGGCATAGGTAAACACCTGAACTTGCTGCCTCACACAATCACTTCAAAACTACAACTAAAAGACAAAACGGACATCATCCAGAACCACAGGAAGGCTGGCTGAATGGATATTTTACAACTAGAAGGGAAGAGAAAAGCACACTGAGACTCAGAGGAGATTCAGAAGTAATGTGCAGAGGTATAGAGGTGCGTGTGTGCAGAGAGGGCTGGCAACTGAGGATGCAGCTGTCTTTTTCAATCCACAGGGAGACACAAGTTCCCAACTGCTCTGAACTCCAGTTCCGGGTGAGACTCTGGGGATCCAGACTCATATGAGGAGAATTTGACTGTCTGGCAGTGGGCGGAACTCGAAGGTGGCTTTCTTTCTGAGGTGCTTGCAGTGATCACCAAGGGACACTGAGACCCTGGGGGCCTCTTAAGGCAGGGCTGATGGGAAGTGATTGTTGTTTGCTACACCCTGAGACTCTGCCCCATCCAAGCTGTCTGCAGAGGCTTTTGCATATGAATGGCCTGGTCCTTTGAAATCTAAACTTACCTAACAAACTGCAGCTAAGTCAGAGAGACCCAGGACATCCAAAAGAAGGCCCAAGGCCCCATAGCAGCTTGCATTGCTTCATAGCTGGGCCTCATCTGGGCACCTCCAAAACCCAAACAAAGAAGAGGAATCTGCAGATCTCTCCATAGCTCCTGCTGGGTGGCCTCAGGCAGAGGCTAAATTAGCACCTCCTTGGAGATCCAAGAGCCAGTGTACACAGGGATCAGAGCAGGACCATCCAGATTACAACTCCTCAGATACATAAGGACACACTCAGAGGGCAGACTCAGTGAGCACCAAAGCCCCACTGAAACAAGTCTTGCCTCATAAGGGTGTTTCCAGCACAGAAGTTTTTCCATCATAGACACAGCTGATCCTCACAGCCAAGTGGCCTGGAGGTCAATTCCTCCCAGTGATACCAACAACGATCAAGGCTTACCTACAACAAGACTGTGCACACAGCCCATAAAGAGATGCACCAAGAGTGTCTACCTCAGGTAACTGGGAAGGCTGAGCCACTGGGCCCTATAGGACACCTAGCACACAAAGCTACTCTATCAACTCAGGGAAGCAGCCAAAATGTGGAGACAAAGAAACAGTTTACAAATGAAAGAAATGGAAGAAAGCAAACTACTGGATATAGAGTTCAAAACCATGGTTATAAGGTTACTCAAGAATCTTCTAGAAAACACTGATAAATTTAGTGAGTGAGACCCTTGAGGATATTAAAAAGGATCAACTACAAATTAAGTATACACTGACTAAAATAAAAAATAATATACAGCAGACTAGAGGATTGCAAGAATCAAGTAAAAAATTTGAAATACAAAGAAGAAGAAAAAACACCCAACCAGAAAAGAAAAAAAGAAAAGAAAAAAGAATCCAAAAATATGATGATAGTATAAGGAGCCTCTGGGACAACTTCACGCATACCAACATCCAAGTTATGAGGGTGCCAGAAGAAGAAAGAGAGCAAGATACTGAAAACCTATTTGAAGAAATAATGATTGAAAACTTCCCCCACCTTGTGAACGAAATAGACTTACTAGTCCAGGAAGCGCACAGAACCCCAAACAAAAGGAATCCAAAGAGGATCACACCAAGACACATCATAATTAAAATGCCAAGAGCAAAAGACAAAGAGAGAATCTTAAAAGCAGCAAGAGAAAAACAGTTACCTACAAGGGAGCACCCATATTACTGTCAGCTGATTTCTCAACAGAAACTATGCAGGCCAGACGACCGTGGCAAGAAATATTTAAAGTGATGAATAGCAAGAACCTACAACCAAGATTATTCTACCCAGCAAAGCTATCATTCAGAATTGAAGATCAGCTAAAGAGCTTCACAGATAAGAAAAAGCTAAAGGAGTTCATCACCACCAAACCAGTATTATATGAAATGCTGAAGGGTATTCTTTAAGAAGAGGAAGAATAAGAAAAAGGTAAAGATAAAAATTATGAATAACAAATACATATCTACCAACAAGTGAGTCTAAAAATCAAGTGAATAAAAAATCTGATGAACAGAATAATCTGGTGAATATAATAGAATCAGGGGCATAGAAAGGTAGTGGACTGACAATCCTCGGGGGAAAGGGGTGTCGGGGTGCAGGAAGAGACTGGACAAAAATCATACACCTATGGATGAGGACAGTGGTGGGAGGGGGTGATAATGGCAGGGGGTGGGGTGGGAACTAAGTAGAGGGAAGCTATGGTGGGAAAAAAGAGAAACAACTGTAATAATTTGAATAATAAAGATAAAAATAAATAAATAAAAATAAATAAATTTTAAAAAAAAGAAAAAAAAGAAAAAGCCAGAGAGATGAACCAGATGGAGGAAAACAGGTGAAGGAAGGCACCTGGAAAACTCGACCTTTCTCTTTCTATTTTCCTTAGAGCACCCTGCACAGCAGGGATGTGGTAAAGGGAAAGAGGAGCCTGAGGCAGAGGGAGAAGAAAGGAGGGTGCAGGGAAATGCTGCACAGGCATTGGTTTACTTTCCTTTGGGAGGCATTCAGAGCATCTCAACCATCTGAGAGGGACAGCAAATTGTCCAAGGCCACCCAGAGTCACAGGCAGGAGCTGGGTTTTGCCAACCAAGGGCCTTCATGGTCCCTCGGATGGGTCCAAGCCGCCACTCTTTCTGACTGTGCTCAGTTAGGAACAACCACCCTATTAGTGAATTTAGGAATGTGACAAGGATTCCAGAGGGCAACTGGTGCATCCCTCATAATCCAATATCCCAACTCCACAGGCAGGGAAACGCTTAAACTAACATTGACAACCTTGACAGACAGGTTGGGTGACTCCCAGGCTTCCAAAGCCCTCTGCCCCTCTGTAGCAGGAGCCCTCTGCCCCTCTGTAGCAGGAGCCCTATGCCCCTCTGTAGCAGGCCCTTGCTATTCCAAGAGCAAGGACAAAAAGGGGAGGTTTTCCTAGCACCCCAGGGAAAAACTCCTGCTGACTGTATCTAAGGAGAAAGAAGGGAGGGAAGTGGGGGTGGCTCCCTATAGAATAATGACCTTCAAGAACATCTGAGCCTAAGGGGGCCTAGTGGAAGAGAGAAGAAGCATCGGAGAGCGGTAGGGACCTGGAGCAGACTTCCTCGGACCTTGCCCTCTCTTTGCCAGGGGAGGGGTGCTCCTCAGCCCCAAGGAATGCCACCTCTGCCCTGCATCTCCAGAGGGGGAGAGAGTGTGAAGAGACTCTTGCCCATCCACACTGACAAAGCTGAGCACTGGCAGAAGCAGTCCTCCTCTTACCCACATCTATTAGACTTTAAAGCAATTTTCTTTGTTGTGATTAGGGTGGTCAGTGTTTTCCTGCTCTAAAAACCCTCAGTCTGATCCCCTTTTTTTCCTCATTTTTGCCTCTACTGATATGAAAATGACCCTGATTGGGAGCAGACAGATGCTTGTGTGGGGTCTGGGGTCTGGACAGGTAGCACAGAGAGGATGGGCTGAGGGTCTGTTCCCCAGGCCTAGATGGCCCCAGCACTGACAGCCCTCTTTTCTTCCAGGCTCATTCTCTGCTCCTGAGGGTGGCAGAGAGGGTGGACTTTTATCACCCTTGACCATTTCTGTACCAATGGTACTCTGTGCACAATGTGCCCAATAAATAAAAGACTTTTTAGGGAAACAGGCCGGTCAAAATGCGGCCTCTGGCCCTCTGTAACAGGAGCCCTCTGCCCCTCTGTAGCAGGAGCCCTCTGGCTAAAGGTCACCGATATTGTGGTTTCTGGGACCAATCAGGAAGCTGCTAAGACTGGAGAGAGGATTTCTTGAAAATGACCAAAACTTCAGAGGGCCCTTTCTCTTCCCTGAGTCCTTCCCCAGCTGAGATCCCCCTACTCCTCTGGACATCCTGGTGGGGGGTGGGGGAGGGGGAGGTACGGGAGGGGGGTGTAGGAGGAGGAGTGCATAGATGGTGGGGCACTCACTCTAGCACGTCGTGGTTGAACTGCTTCTTGTTGTTGCCCAGGAACTCTCCAATCATTTGCCGGCTGAGGCCTTTGCGCTGGAGCAGGAAATGGGCCACTCCGATGGGGGTATCAGGGATGAAGCCACGTGAGATCAGGAACTGGATGCCCTTGTCGGGGTTTCTGGGGGTGCGAATGGGGGTGGGGAGAAGGAGTAGAGAGTGAACCAAGGCCATCCATGATTTCTTTTTCTATTCTTCCAGCCAATTCAACCCAAAATAGTGCCTGGAGGTCCTTGGGAAGAATTCTCAGGAAATATCAGGATTCCTTCCTCCACAGAGTGGTTCTCCATCAGAATCACCTTTCACCCGAGCCTCACTCTCCTGAACCTCGCCACAAGGGAGAAAAGGTAATGTGGGGTAGGAGGGGGAAGGGGAAGTCTGGCCAAGCAGAGTGAATTCCAGAGCAGGAGAAGAGGTGTCCTCTTTCTTCTGGCCTCACTCCCATCAGATCTCATCCTTAGGTTCCCAAGGCTTGCCAAGAGGTCCCTAAGACTGCCTGCATCTTGTTGTCTATGTGCAGTACCCACCCTGCAATCTGGAGAGGATGAGATTGGGTAACAGCAGTAAGATCTGCCCCACCCCCCTCTTTCCTGGGCATGGTGGATACACAAAAATCCTGCTCTCCAGCATTTATTTTCTCAGGCTTGAGTCTCTATGTGTGGGTGTGGGTGTGGGTGCTGTGTCTTAAGGCAATTGTGCTCACAGTGTGGTCTGCAAATCCATGCTGCTCCCTGAACTGTTTTTTACTGGCCCAGGAGAATATAAGTACAGAAATAGAGGGTAAGCATTTAGAACCTTTTATAGCACTTTGACATTTTCAGGACAACTAAGCATGTGATTGTTTTTCTAGCAGTTCATTTTTATTGTATTTTACACAAGTATTGACCCATAAGGTGTTGGGTAAAAATCCAAACTGCTCCTTCACCACAGATAGTTTGAGAACCACTGTCTTGAGGGACCCAAGTGTCTGTGTGAGCATTTGTGTGCATGCCCAAGTGATGCACACAAATACACCAGGAGGGCAGCCTGAGGTAAAAGAAAAAGCAATGCATTGGGAGTCAGACAGATCTGGCTTCACCGAAGCCTGCTGCTTACTAGCTGTGTCAGTGTGCAACTCACCTTACTAATATGAGCTGGTTTCCTTTCTGTAAAATGGCATAACCATGCTCTCTCTAATACTGTTGGGAAGATTGCAGATGCTTTATGAACAGTAACTGTTCTTCCCAGGATATATGATTCTGGAGACCAGAGGATGTCTTACTCATTTTTGTGGTCATGGTGCCTGGCACTCAATAAATAATGCATGTGGGCAGGAGGGCTGTCATAGTTCCTGGCTCAGGTCTGTGAAGAAAGGGCCAGGCAGAGGGTGGAGATCAGTGCCTCAGGAACTTGAAATTTCCATGTGAATGCCCTCTGCTTGCCACCAGCTCTATACATTCTGGTTGGGAGAAAAGGTTGGGCTCTGGAAGTCACTCTCTTTCTCCTTTCATTCCCCTTCTCTTTGTATTACACCTCTGCTTGCTTCACATTCTTTTTCTGTCGCCCTTTCCCCTTTTGTCCCACCTTCTTCTGCTTTCCACCTGCACTCCTTAAAGTAGGTCTCTTTCCCCCACCCAGTCCCTCATGCACCTTTCCTCACGTTACTGTCTGTTTCTCCTCTTCATCAACCGCAGGGGATTGCTGAGTGTCCCTAACTTCATATCCTATCTGAGGGATTTCTGCTCAATCCTCACGTTATCTCTACTGTTATTTACTGAATATTACATTTTCTTTTAAAGTCTCTGACTTTTCGAATTCTAGCTTCATTTTAAGCAGGAACAGTGGTGAAAGCATGGGTTTGAAAAGCTATTTTGTTCCTAATTTTTCTTAAAATAAATGAATAACAAGCAAAAGTAAAATATGTATGTATTTGTACACAGTATCTCAAGGAGCGGGCACGGCACAGATGCCACCTGGGAGGACACTGGATGACATGCTAAATTACCCGGCACCCTGCTAATCTGTCTTCCCTCCCTCCAGGGCCTCCCCGTCCCTCCCCTCCAGGACGCACTGCAGCTCAGGAGCCAGAGCTCACTCACATGTTGAAGAGGTTGAGGCCGATGCGGTAGAGGCGTTTGCGCAGGGTGTCGGTGGAGAGCGTGGGCGACTTGCAGCTGGCGGGGTTCTCGCAGTGGTAGCGCGGCAGGCTCAGGATCATGGCCTGCAGGGCCTCCTTGGAGGCTGACGCCGAGACTTCCGACCCGGACTTGGCGGACTTGGTGGACGTGCTGCTGCTGCTCAGCTGCTCCGAGTTGTCTCCGGCCTCTGTCTCGGCCTCGGCCTCGGCCCCTTTCCCCATCTTTCCTGTCTCTGCCTCCTCTACCTGCGCGGCTGGGGCCTCCTCCACCATCGCATCCACCGCCCCATCTGCTGCTCCAGGCGAGTAGGCGCGCAGGGTCTCCCCAACTCCCGCCTCTGCGCACGTGGTCTCGGCGGGCGCGTCTCCCTGGCTCTCGGTTGGGGCCACTGGAGCCTCCTGACCTCGGGCCTCTCCCAGCTCGGCCTGGCCCCTCAGGGTCTCTGCTGGGGCCGGGGAAGTTTGCGGGCCCAGGCAGTTAGCTACTGACAGCGCGGTGGAGGAGGAGACGGAGATGTTCTGGTTGGCGATCTGCACGGTGACATCCCGGAAAGCCATCATTAGGGTGCTGCTGTGGCCCGGGGGCAGGCCCGCGGCCTCCGAGGCCTCCTCCTCGGACCCCGGGCCGACACTCTCCTGCTCCCGTGCCTCCGCCTCCAGGCCGGGCTGCCCCGCGCTCGCGCGCAGGGCTTGGTGGATCTGGTAGGCGCCGCTCTCCTGCAGGGAGCACATGGTTTTGAGGCTCCAGGTGCTGAGGGCGTCGTCGATGGACTTGGCCAGGGACTGCACCTGCTCGGTGAAGGAGTCCTCCAGCTCGGTGAGCGTGCCCGCGAGGGTGGGCGGCAGAGAGGGCGCGCGCACCAGCGGCAGCCCCAGGAGGCCGTAGCCCTCCATGAGCGCCCTCTCCGCCGCCAGGCCCTCCGCTGTGGGCGCACGCACCCTGCGCAGAGAGATCCGGCGCGGCAGGCGGCTCTCCAGGAGCGAATTGCGGATCTTCTCAAAGTTCTTGCTGAGCTGGTACTGGCGGAAGGCGGTTTGGATGGTGCAAGCTGCGCGCCGGGATACCAGGTGGCCCCCGTATTTGTGTTCTAGCATTTCAATCTTGAAGGACAGAGAGGAGGAAGAGCACAGTAAGGGAAGGGGTGTTCTGGCCCTTTCAAAACATGGGGTTGATGGCTGTCCATCAACGCAGGGAGTCGCCTGGCTAAACTTTGCAGGGACCCAGGTTGCACAACCAGGGAAACACTGAGGGGTTCAGGTCTGAAAACCAGCATGTTGGCAGGAGATACCAGGTCCTTGGCAAGACCCCTAGAAGTGTAGGATGCAGGAATGGGTTCCAGGGCTTGGTAAAGGCGCAGGCAGGGGGAAGAGGTATTGCTGATTGTAGTAAGATATTGCTGGTTTGGTGGTGATTTTAAAATGTTCCTATCAGCCCTGGCCAGTGTTACTCGGTGGTCAGAGCATCCGTCTGCTAGGGTCTCGGGTTAGAGCTCCCGCTGGTTCCCTGCATGAGAGGCGACAAATGGGTCTCTCTCTCTCTCTCTCTCTCTCTCTCTCCTCTCTCTCTCTCTCTCTCTCTCTCTCTCTCTCTCCCCCTCTCTCTCTCCTCTTCTCTTCTCCCCTCCCTCCCTCTTGCTCTCACTCTCCCCCTTTCCACTTTCTCTCTAAAGAAAGAAAAAATCAATGGAAAAATATCCTTGGGTGAGGATTAACAAAATAAAATAAAATGTTCCTATCGGAGATGCATATGGAAGTATTCATGGGTGAAATGCAAAATATTTTGAATTTGTATTAAAATACTCTATCAAAAAAGTGGAAGGGTTAGGTGAAACAATACTTATAAAATTATTGGAGCTGGTGATGGTTATAAGGCAGTTTATTCTTTCTACTTTTGTGCACATTTAAAAATAATTTTAAAAATTAAACAGAAATGCTTTAAAGTTTTGCTGCTATTCCTGTCCTCTGCTTTCCCTCTCAGCATTCCTGTCCCTGCATTGGGGCAGTCCCTCGGGCATCGTAAGGGTTGGGATTGGGGTTTGATCATCTCTGTGTTCCTAGTACCCAGCCCAAGGGCTGGCATGTAGTAGGTGCTGAGTAAATGTTAATTTAATTGAAAGTTGATGGGTGGGTGGAGGATGGAGGGTGGATGGCTTTTTCAAGAGTGAGAGGCCCTCCAGGCTGCTGTGTTTCATGATTCCAGTAACCTCTGTTGTCATCAATGGGAGCTGTACCACAGGGCCCGGCGTGGAGGGGCTGCGGGTAGGGGCACACTGCCTCGTCTGGGTAGATCTGAACCCAGGAAAATGTCTGACAAGGGGCCAATTTATCCGACTTTACTCACATCCTCTCAGCTCTGTCCCCAGTCTCCGGTCTTTTCTAACCCTTAGGTAAGTGGTCGGCAAACTGCTGCTCTAGAGTCACATGCGGTTCTTTGGTCCCTTGAGTGTGGCTCTTCCACAAAATACCATGTGCGGGTGTGCACGTATAGTGCGATTGAAACTTCATGGCCCATGCACAGAAGTTGGTTTTTGGCTCTCAGAAGAAATTTCAATCTTGTACTGTTGATATTTGGCTCTGTTGACTATGAGTTTGCTGACCACTGCCTTAGGTTATGCTCTTACTTCTCTCTTATCAGAAAAGGACTTGGAAGATATTTCCACTGAGATGTCATTTAGCCATGCCCTTTCCTGAGGATTTTTGCAGTTAAATAAGAGGCAAGGGCTATGTTAAGGAGATGGACAGACAAATGGTAGCACTGTGGGCTCCAATCAGTCCTTAGGGAAGTTCAGATAGCAAGAAAGTGTTCTAGGCCCTGAAATTATGTCCTAGTCACAACCATACACTCCACATCCATGAAGTATCATTCCTGAATTAAGAGTCAGGATAGGTAGGCTGAGATAAACAACTTACAGCAAGAACAGCATTATCCCACCCACGTTCCCCCAGAACCAGGCGTGGGAGGGGTACAAATAGGCCAAATTTCATTCCTCAATAGAAAGAATCATTCTACTCACTTCCTGCTCCACTCAACCCACCAGGAACTGCAGCTGGCATGATTGCCTCCCCATTACTCCAGCAGTCCTTTCTGTTCCCACCCTGTGGGTACCCAACAGCTGGACCAGTGGGAGCACCCTCCTACCCAAGGAGACTTCACAGACATAATCCCAATCCTCTGGAACAGTCCCAGGTAAAATGAATGCCCTCATCTTCAAGATTCTCTCCTAGTCCCACCATCCTGTGCCCTTACCTGTCTCTCTCTCTCTCCCACATTCAACCCTCTCTAAAGATAGTTTGAAAACTTCATATTAAGGTTTGGGTGGCCCAAAAGGCTTCCTATATGACTCCTCCCAAAAGTATTTGCATTTTATAAAGTACAAAAGCATAAACAGAAAGCAGGAAGCTCTCCCAGTCCTCATGATCTTCATATTGTAGGGGCCTTCAATATGCTCTTTAAAAAATCATACTAAGTGCATTAGTTATCTATTGCTACGTAGCAAGTTACCACTAATTTAGCAGCTTACAATAACACCCGTTTATTTTCTCACAGTTCTGCATGTCAGTAGTCTGGGCACACAGCTCAGCTGGGTTCTGTCTATGGAATCTCACCAGGCTGAAACCAAAGTGTCAATCTCATGTAAGCTCAGAGTCCTCTTCCAAGCTTACTGTTGTGGAAAGACTTCAGTTCCTTGAGATTTTAAGATTGAGGCCTCAGTTACCAGAGCTGCCTGCTGTTCTCAGCCACAGGGCCCGCTTCACAGCAGGGTTGTTTGCCCTGTCAGGGCCAATAGGAGAGGGTCTCTCTGATGCTTCCCCTTGTTTAAAGGGGTTCAACTGATCAGATCAAGCCATCCAGGACGACCAACCTTTTGATGCATCAATGGATTGGTAATCTAATGATAGGAGTGATCTCTCTCTCCATTCTCTAGTCCCACCCACACTGGTGTGTGTTGTGCAGGATGTGTACACAAAGGGGCAGGAGTCTGGTGACCCTCTTAGAATTCTGCCACCATACCAACTGGACAGTTGCTTACCGGGTCTTTATCTGAGCATGGCCACATGTACCCAGGAGCTCCAGAGACACATCTGCCTTCCAGGCATTCTGTTCCTGCTTTTGCAGAAATTGTGCTAGAAAGGAAAGAGTACTGTAGCTCAGCTATTCTCCCTGCAAAGCTCTGGCAAGTTTCCTGAGGCCTGAAATGTAGGTTGGCCTTGGCTTAGGCAGGAAAGTTCTCCAAGGAGAAGTATAGAGTGAGGGGAACTGACCACTTACCTGCCCCCTTCTCTCAATTTCTGTCTCCCTCTTACCCTTCCCCAAGCACCAAGAGAAACTGACACCAGATAGGAAATTACACCTCTTTTCTACCTGGTCTATTTATTAGGGAAATCCCACGCCCAAGAGCATTCATTTCAGGTTATGAGATGCTATTGACAATAGAGGGAAAGTATGAAATCTCATTTCCTGAAATGCTTCCAAAACAGTAAAGGGGCCCCATCCTCCTTGCATGGTATCAAGGAGGCAGGAGGCTAGCTGGGACAACCCTAGGAGACTTCTACCAGCCACTGTCCATGCTTCATCAAAGTAGAGAAGAAAACCTGATTTTAAATTCTTGAGTCTGTTCCATCAAGTCCTCCACTAGATTATAAGCCTCATGAAGATAGAGACTTTGCTGGCCATGTTCACTGCTTTATCCCCAATGCTTGGAGAATGCTCAATCCATAGTAGGCCTTCAATCAATATTTATTGAATAAATTAAAGGATTAATTCCAAAGTTATCTTTATGACTCTCCAAAACCCTCCTAATCTGACCTGCAACTTTCCTCTCCTAGAAAATCAGTCCTTAGGGAAGTTCAGATAGCAAGAAAGTGTTCTAGGCCCTGAAATTATGTCCTAGTCACAACCATACACTCCACATCCATGAAGTGTCATTCCTGAATTAAGAGTCAGGATAGGTGGGCTGAGATAAACAGCTTACAATCTCTCTTGCCTCCTTTCTGCATTTACTTCATCCTCTAGGCTCTCTTTTACTTGTATTTCCAACCCTTACCCCTCCATTGCCCCTTTCCACCAGCCTACATACTCCCAGATCTCCCCAGGCTAAAACACAACTCTGCTTGGCTCCCCTGCCTGGGGCACCAGCCCAATCTCTTTTTATTTCCACCGAACCTCTTGGAGAACCAGTCTACACCCTCTGCCTCACTCTGTGAGCAGATGCCAAATTGCTGATCCAACCCTGTGTGCCCTGGCTCCTTGCAGTCTGCCTCCTGCCCCCACCCATCTTCTAAAATGATCGTTAGTGACTAAACCTAATGGCCCATCCTCAATCTTCCTCCTCTTTTCTGCAGCTCTTGATATTTTTATCACCCTGAAACTCTGTCCTCAGCTCTCCTGTCTCAGTAGAGCTCCTTAATCCTACATTTTGACCACAAAATCCCTAAGCATGTCAGTTACAAGTCATATATGTGCCATCTTCTATTTTCAGACACATTTTAATTATTTTTTATGCACTTCTGGACATTTTCCATGGTTTCTATGTTGAAAGTCATTAGAGAAGACCCTGGTAGTTGATAATTAACAAATAATTAAGAGGGAAACTATCTCTGGCAGAGTCTTTGTGGCAACTCTAAAGATGTTCTGTTCTTACCTCTTGCCTGAGAACCTAGTCCACACTGCCATAACTTCACTCTACTTTAATGGATTGATGAGAAAGCCGTAGGGGATATGCTCAGTCCCAGATCTACCTCTTCCCTGCTGGTTGACTTTTAACATGTTTCTATCTCTCAGTTTTCTTATCTGTTAAATAAGTCTGAGCTTGCTGACTCTGCTGCTTGTTGTGAGGCTTAAGTTATTTCACATAGCACCTGGCACATAGTAGGTGATCAGTAAGTGGTAGCTATCTGATGATGACAATGCAATCATCAGCCTCTGCCAGAATGACTCTCAAATGACTCTCAAATCTCTGTTCTTAGCCTTCATCCTGCATTTCCAACAGCTCATGGGTCTCCTATTCAAAGCCATCGTCTCTCCCCACCTTCCCCAAACCAATTTCAAGGACTACCTTATTTGCCTAATAGCACCTTGGCTGTATGCCATCCAGTTGGGA